GTTTACTTACATATTGAGAATGTAAGCATCACTCTAAGTATTATATGTGGTGTATACAGAAATATAAATGAATTTATTAGCGATTTTCAGCAGCCTTTTGTGCTTGTATTCGACTTTTCTGCTTTGCTTGGGGACAACCTTAATTGAAATAGCTATATATATATATACAAATCTGAATCACTCCTCAGTTACCTAAGTTAACTAGATTAAAAAGGATAGACGGATTTTGTGGGAGGGGGGTGCTACCCCCCCCCCTAATATTAGCTATAACTCCCCCTCCCAAACAAAATGACCACCCCTCCAAAAAACTATTTCAACACCCCCCCCACCCCAACATTTGGCATAATAAAAAATAATTAAATAGTCCACTCCAACATGCAGAGTGTTGATGATATAAAATAAACGTAGGAGTACACTCAAATAGAAAAAGACAGTTTATTGGAGCAATTGTAAAGTTTTGAAACTCTATTATCTCCCCTGAATAGAGTTTGCAGTGCCTTCTCATGCAAATAGCTTGCTCGGAAGGAACATTTGGATTTTTTACGAACATTATTTTTAGTTTTTAATGCTTTTAGAAAATATACTTGCCTAGATTCAATCTTTATGCCCCAATTATTATTTACATCGGAGTTGCATCATAAAATGTATTCGGATTCAAACGACACAATGTCAATGACTTTATAAAACTGGTAAAAGCATATTGTGTATTGGCCTATTAGGTTCATTTTACGTTTAACACTCCCAAGTCTCATCAGACAATCGGACATGCCAAATCCATTGATATGACCACTTTTTCAAAGCTAGGATCATGATTTTTTTAAAATTTCTCCAGGGATACTTTGTTTTCTGCTCTCTAGACTCCCCCTCACATCTCTAGTGCTCCACCTCTAGAATATAGACCTTACTGGGGTATGGTGACACTTTGTGATGCTTCAGTCACCTGCTCACAGCTCACCCCCCACCCCACCCCCCCTAAAATTTCTGGCACCATGCACCACAGTAAAAAATATGAAAATCTGTCTATGTTAAAAAGATAGACGAGTATTAATTTTATGACTTATTATTTATAATATAATTCATTTATAATATAATTCATTAATATAATTAATTTAATATTATTTGTATAGGTAATCACACGGGAAGGAGTGCAATTAATGATTAACACTACGAGTGATATTTGAAAAATGTGCCAAAATTGCACGAGCCGCCGAGGCGAGTGCAATTTGGCACATTTTTCAAATATCACGAGTAGTGTTAATCATTAATTGCACGACTTGCCCGTGTGATTATTTATTTATTATATACATGACAAAATCGCTTTCTTTATATTTCAACTGCATTTTGTCAAGAGTTTTTAATTCTTTTGTAAGCAATTTGGTATAAACAAACTTGGGAAATGATTATAACCTCAAAAAGGCACATAACTTAAACTAGAACACAAGATTCAAACTCAAACAACATATTTTAGACTAAGAAAATCTTTATAAATTGTATTACAAACTTACATAGTCAGGTTTCGCTGCATCCCGCCAAGATTATTCCTTAAAACTGTTTCCAGGTATTTTCCACAGGCTCTTTTTGCCATACAATGTTTTTTAAACTCATTCTTGTGCCAAAATTCAGTTAAATTCGTTCCACATTTGTCAAAAATACTTATTTAAATTTCGCCGCCATATTGGATTTTGTTGTTTTGATTTCCCGCTCCCCCCAGCCATCACGAAAATCATTAATTGCACTCCTGGTGAATGCAATTAATGATGGTAATAGAACGAATAGGAGTGCTATTAATGCCATAATCATACGAGTGATTACAAAATCAACCGACCGCGTAGCGGGAGGTTGATTTGTTAATCACGAGTATGATTATGGCATTAATAGTACGACTTTAATTCGTTCTATTACTTATTAATTATTTATCTTCTGTATAATCAAACTGTTTAAGGGGGAAAAGCAGAAAAATACAATTTGTTGAAGTTCAATATAATTATTAAATTTTTGTCACGACAATTCTTAGTGAAATAGTACAATTTTGAATTATTGTTTATCATATATATAATCAAATTAACATATTATTAACTTCCGGGCATTATATCCGGTATAATCACATGACAACATTTGTTTGAATTATTCAACACACAATTGGGAAGCCATGTTTGTATGTTTATAACGTGTTCAAAATAGTGAAGTTCTTTAATTCAATTAATCATCTGAATTGGATGGAAATATAACTCCTGGTTGTGTTTAGTTCGGTGTCTTCTGCTGGATGAACAGGTAGGTCATTTTCGTCAGAAAATATATAATTTAACAACCCTCGAAAACGAGATCTGCATGCGGCAATGCCGACCTACAGTATTAAAATGCCGACCTATCAACCTCCCATGTCGGCAATGTTTTGCCCACCTTAATTCAGCCAAAGTAATAATCTTTTTTGGTGCTTATAGCTGTTAAAAAGTCAGCGATTATAGAATTCGATGCACTTTGGTGTAAGGTTTAAGAATTAACGGGTATATTTATGATATAATTTAGGCAAAACTCTAAAAGAAAAGGCTTCGTGACATTTATACTTTTCAATGATTCGTAAATACGTGATTACTAGTGCAGGCTACTAGTGCTCCAAGACATGGAAACAGATTTTAAAAAATGCCGAGATGTGCCGAGCTAGGTCAGGTTTAGGTCGGCATTTTTTTTCCGACCTCAATTTTGACGGTTTTCGAGGGCTGATTTAAAAATTAAAAGGTCAAAATTTGTGAATTCCTCCATTTTGAAATTTTTTACAGCAATAAAGAAAATAAAATTCAAAGTTTGTATCCTGAATGCTGGTTGGCTAGTTGTAAATACTAGACTGTTTTTCATTGGCTGTAGACAAGAGTGCGATTACAGCTCAGAAAAGGTGCGATTAATGCTCAAATCGCAATAATTGCACTCCTCTTAACCAATCAGATTGCAGTAATTTTGTCATGTATATAATAAATAGGATTATAGCTTATTCAGTTATACTGTATAAATACATTGTGTGTTTCTCTCACAGTGTTTTTTTTTTAAATCAAATATTTATTATATTTTGCAATTTTAGCTCGACGTAAATTAATGATATTAAAGTTTAAGACATGTGTAGTGCATGCCCCTTAAGTAGAGTATATTCTGTTTACAATATTTGTGGTATATAATGTAGCCATGAATGACCACATGACCGCACAAGATGAACCCCAATGGCTTCTAAATAGAGAATGGATGAAGAGTTCATGAATATTGAGCTTTATATGTGAATCAGGTTAAATACAAATGAATGAGTTAACCTAGCTTTATATAAAATGTACATACATGTTCTAATAATTGTATTTTGCTTCATACAATGCATATGTGTGTGGAAACATTACATTATTATTTAGCTCACTCCCAACATTGGGGCTTTTCAGTGTCCGATTACATCAAGTACTATGATTACTTATGTTAGCCTAGACTATTAATCTTTACAACAATGAGAATATGATATTACTTTCCTAACTGTGTTTATATCCTAACCCACCTAGCCTGCGAACAGGCTCTCAAGCTGAATTGAGACCCTGCATCGATGGCTAATGAATTTGAATATCTGCGTCTCAAATCTTGACGCGAAATTCTCATTGGTCAGATGCTATAATTTATATGTTTCCGCTGAGCTCTATATATGTCAACTGCTGAAGCACTATGCATAAAAAACGCATTAACTGATCAAATTGGTCTTGGCCGTCTTATCTCAAAGCACGAAATGTTCTGTTTTGAGAAAACAGTAATATCTTATATTTCGAAAAACAGTATAAACTGTACGATCTAAATTTAGTTTGCACGGTCTAAATTTAGTTTGCACGAAAGTTGTAAACAACACCATATAAGGATAGACATTCCATATTTGGAAAAACGAACGTTACGGGGCAGATATTCAAATTCATTAGTCATCGATGCAGGCTCTCAATTCAGCTTGAGAGCCTGTTCGCAGGCTATAACCCACCCTGCCAATTTTGCCTTGTGGGAGGAAACCGGAGCAAAATATAAAATTCAATTCCTTTGAAAACACCTAAATTGCAATCCCAAATATTTAAATTTTTTTCTTAAATCGCCTACAATCGCATTAAATCGCAGTGCTTGAAAGTCCCAGTTATTCCTTAAATCGCCCAAAATCGCATTATATCGCAGCGATTTAAGGCGATTTACCGCCCCAGAGTAGGCCTTATAACTGGAGAGCGTTACTATTTAGCAGGTTATCATTCCACTGGGTTATTTTGTCATGATGATGCTGATATATCCAGTCCTCCACCGTGTTATAAATCATGCTTAACTCGGGTACTGCACGGCCAAAACGATGAATTAGGTCGCTATATCTGCAGGGGTAAGCAAGTCTCTTTAACAGTATACAGAGTCCTTCAATTCGTCCCGTTTTCGTCCTCTGTGGACAGCTCAAAATTTTTGGTAGACCAAGGGCATCAGCCAAGCGAGGCACGTCCAGTTTGCGAACACGAAATTCTCTCAAACATTCTGTTTCGTCCATGTCTTGGAGGTTGAAGCGATCGTACTCGGCATGAGGAAAAATCAAATTTTTTGAGCAGTTTGCTTAATAAATTAATACAAATTCATCTTCTGTGATCCAGTTATTTTGAAAGGATAACATTACGGTTTTCCTTAAAAGAGCCCATGGCCGATAAAATATGGATGACAAGAAGTCAAGAAATGAACATCTGTTTTGTTTACATTTTCAAAGCTACCTGCGGTACTGTGTCTGGTCAGTGCTTAACGTCATCTTCGTGGCGACGGTCACGCAAAACAAAATATTCTCGTCCCAGGAAAGCTCGGTCATTAGACAACGTTCCGGACGGCAATGTTCTCGATGCTTAAGGTCCCTATTTAAAAAAACTCGCAGGTCGTGTTTTATTAGGTCTAAAGCCACTCACGCTGCGCACTCGTGGCTTTAAACCTAATAAAACACTCCTGCTCGTTTTTTAAATAGTACTTAAAAAACTCATTAATAATTCAGGAGCAAAACACAAAGAAAAATCATAAGCGTGTCGTGGTTATATATGTGATATAAAATCATGTTAATTTACATAAACTTTAGCTTTGATTTTCTCGGTTTAGACAAAGTTTATTTTAAAAATTACTTCGCCAATGAACTCGTATAAGCTGAGTCGTTTTTTAAGCCATTTAAAGCACTTGTAGTCGTGTTTTATCACATATAAAACACTCCGCTACGCGTCGTGTTTTATATGTGATAAAACACTCCTACGCGTGCTTTAAATAGTACTTTAAAGATTCTTTGTTTTTGATCCAATAGATGCCATGTACGCTACAGCGTAGGCTTACTTATTTTTTGAAATGGCTGTTGTATACAACGTTTCTTTAATTAAATTCCAACTTAGCATTCAAATTCACGCTCAATTATTACGTGCAAATAAATACATTTGGTTATAATTATTCATCTACAGTAGTCTAAGAATAAATTAATTAAACGTCTTCGTGAGTGAAAAACAATTTTTGAAGTTCTCTACAATTTATCTAAAATATCTATACCTTATATATGATGACAATTTTTAAGCTCGGCGCGGCTTACCACGGGCAAATTACCAGTTGCCTAATAACTGAGACTATGCACACAGCATGTGTTGACTAAGTTGCGCTGCATGTTGACACTTTCATAAGAATTATAAGAAGATACTTACTAAGGATTTTCATATAATATGCTTATGGCTGTATGTACCTCAGGGGTAATCAATCTAACATAATATATCTAAGACATGTACTGTATAATATACAGAGTGTCCCACAAAAAATATATAATATCCAGAGTGTCCCTCAGCATTCTGCTGAACCCACAAGTATACATCAAAGCTTGACTTAAATAAATTTGATGAGTTTGATGCATAACTTTAAGCTGTTCAAGAAGCTGCTTTAAAATCCCAAGAGCAGAAAATCATGCGCTTCACAAAAATATTTTAAGTCAATATTGAATATATATGCACCCTGTCGTTATTTTACAGAACTTCGTTCATCTTAGTGCTACGCTTTGGGTTGTTTTTTTGGACACCCGGGGGCCGGTTGTTCAAAGCACGATTAGCGCTAATCCTGGGTTAAATTTTAACCTGCTGTTTTTGTTTATGTATTTCTGCATGATCATTCGTTTCAAAACTTTACGAAATAAAACCTCTATTGAACCAGAAAAGATTTCTGGGGAAACATATTCAACTCGATTGATGAGCTGTTGGAAAATTTAATTTGTAGATTTGTGTTAACCTACGGTTAGACTTAACCGCCTTTTGAACAACTGGCCCCCGGTACATACAGGGTTGCAGTGTCCGTATAAAAAATATTTACGTTTTAAAATCAAGCCTATGCTGGAATTTCAATGCCTGATTACTATGCTGAACAAACGGGTGTATAAAACATAATAGAAGTGAGATGACTAATTAGTAATTTGATTTTTTTATGCATATATCCTTTTTCATACGGGGTAAGGGTAAAACGCGGAAACGGAATTAACCTACATAACTACTGGTGGTGCATGTTGGGGGGAGGGGAGGGGAGGGGAGGGTGTAACACCCCCAAATAATAGTAAAAATAGGTACGCGACGCGTACATGTATCTGCGAAAAACTTGATTCACATTTTCATCACTTATTATAATAAATATAATAGGAAATAAGATTTTAAAGTCAAACATAGTACAAATCTAACAAGGCTGTAGACAGCACAGAGGGCAGCAGGGGCAACTCCCCCCGGCAAAAATTTAACTAATTTTATGTGATTATGATTGTAACTCAGATAATTATGCAGTCAAAAAATAAAAATTTCATGCAAACAATATTCGCAGTGTCTATTTAGTAAACTGTCACTTGTCAATCCATACCCATTTTGAAAACTTTATTGTAATCATATGAAGCAAAAGTTCTTTCACTTGTTGTTCACACTTGCCAACGTTAACTGTTGAGTAACATACACAAACTATTCGAGGAACATGCAATTAATACTGTAGCAAAGAGTCCATCATATATCGAAGACCACTGAATAGTAGAGAATGTTTTAAAGGTCATGAATGAAGTATATAATTAAATTCCAATCCTGTGCACAGTTAATGATATACCACACTGTTCGGTTTAACACAACATATCCACACAAAAACAATTTGTGTTGTGGGAGAATATCGGTTTGAGTAGAAGGTATCACAAGTTCAGTTTTGTACATATTGTGTATCTGTTATCTGACCATCCATATAATATATGATTATTGTAGCTGTTAAGTTATTACTGCTATTTGCAACCTACCATTAGGCGTGCGATTTTTTTCATGTTTGTTTACGTTTCAAACGTTCAGGTTCAGTTTACCAGAAAACGTTAACATTTTCCGGTCAAAACCTGAACGTTTAAAACGTAAACAAACATGAAAAACATTGTACGCCTAATGGTAGCTTGCAAACAGCAGTATCCATACCATTGATACTTATGAATTTAGGTAAGATTGTCTTGCAAGTGGGTTGTTCTGACAAAATTATCTAGCCAATATCCAGTACATTTATTCATCATTCTTGCATTAATCTCTAGACAAAAACATTTATGTTAGAAAGCAAAATAACAATGTAATATTAAAGGAGGTAGGGTGGGGATTAATATTATTAACTATAGATAGCATTGCTATTTGCCGAGCTCATGTATTAAATATGTGGGATATATATTTGCACAAATTTGGTATTTAAATCTATAATATATGGTATTTGACTACTTACCAGATGAGGATAAGATTCCATGTTGATAAATAACTTCGGAATAATATCGCAAGTAGAGAAAACAAGATAAATTGATAAAAATAGCAAGATATTTTTGAAAGAATAACACGATT